CCGCCGGTCGCCCCCTACTCCCCCCCCTACTCCCCCTACTCCCTGCTGGCTGCCCCTTGCAGCCGCCGCGCGTCATCACGCGGAGCACCTCGCCTCAACCAGCCACTGATTACCGCAAGCACAGACCCTGCGCACTGCCTTGCCAACATCGACCCCAGCAACATGCAGGCCCCATCATCTCACCCAACCATCCAGCTCCTGATGCTGCCATCATATATGTCTGCCGAGTACCCCCACCCCCATCCACACACTCCAAAGCCCGCCATCCACTCCCGACCACCCAAACCTTGGCAGCTCCTCTGCTGGTGGACCCTTTGTAGCAGTCCCTCTCCTTCAATACTTTCGTCGTCGTGCAGCCACCAAAGCAGTTCCCCCTTTGTAGCAGTAAAGTAATAATTTATCCATGCCTGGATCTTGCAGATCATGCACTGCAGTCCCTGAATGCGTTTGAGTCCAGCTTGCGCCATGCCACTCACCAGCCACGCAACAGCAGGAGCCAATCAGACAGACCCCCGCGCCCAGCCGCCAGGTTGAGGCCGCGACTACGCCTACTGGAGGGGCTGCCCCATGCATTCTGCCGCCTCCAAATGGCACCTGCTCCAGCAACTGCCACCACCGCCACTGCTACTGGGGGAAGTGGTTGGGGGATAAAAGTGAGGGTGGGGCTAGCACGGGTCGACTGCCCCTGCGTTTGCTGGATGAGAAATTGGCAGTGATCATGAAAATTTGAGTGATAAGGGTTGAGCGCTGGAAATTCAATCCTTAGCCGCACGCGAATATGAAGCTCCAGTCACTGATTTCAAATATGCACAACTGTTGCGTGCGCCGCTTCGTATCAAGGGACTTTCGCTACAAGTGAATCTATTGCCGTGTCTATGATGCTGCCGTCCGTCGCCAGCATGCCCCTGGCACGCTAACAAACAAGGGAGGGGCGCCGGTGATCTTGGAGCAACCGGCACATGTTGTAGCGCAGTGCGCAGCCCAGACACGCCCTCTGCAGCAGTACTGAACCTCGCGGCCAATCATCCCTCCCTGAAGGCATGACATCCGCGTGAAATGCCAGGAGGAGCAGCCACTGCGGCAGAGAGCAAGGTGGACAGTCGCAAGCTGCTCCAAAGGCCTATGAGTACCAGTGGCGAGACGTGGCGCGTATATTTGGGCGTGTTGTGCATACTTTGTGCAATAAGACTCAAAACTCCACATTAGGAGTCGTAGTGTGGGGTCGGTGGAGCAGGAGCAACCCCAGCATGCACACTGGCCAGTGGTACTAGCTCAGCAGGGGCTGAAGGTCTGCGATGACACATTTTGTGGATCTATGTGCAATCAAAATTGTGTCATATCCACCCACAACTGCAACTCCGCCCTCTCTCATGTAGGACTGATGCTTGCATGTGGGTCACCTGACGAGTTCAGCCATCCGCTTTCCTAGAAAATTTAGGTGGCTGGGGCAGCTGATTTGGGGCAGAGTGGAGCTTTGGCTGCATGGTTTCAGACAGCTAACTCAGTTACAGTCTGAGTTAGCTCTGACGAAAGTACCAAGACCCTTCTGTCATGCAAGCGCAGCAACAATATTGTTTTCAGGAGTGCCAGTCCGGGGCCAAATTGTCATGACGCGAAGCGCATGACATCCCTGGGCGAGCTCAGCTGACGGCACACTGGTTTGACAGCAGCTCGGTAGGTACTGCCAGCGTGACTCGCATGCACAGGGCGGGTTAGCCACGCATAGATTAGTGGTTTGTTAATGTACCATGTTTGAAGCTCCCACGACGACGCAGATCCACGAAGTACACTTCGCCAAATCGAGATGCAGGCTCGCGCAGGCATTCTGACAAGATATGGACATTTAAACGACAACGTTAGAACCAATGTGGCCCTTCAACACCAGCCATGGAGCGCCCATAGACGGGCACTGGCGTGTTCGGCTGGGACGCAGCAGCAGACGCTCCACGCGCAGCACGGCAACCCAGAGCCGGGGCTACGCCTCTTCTTAGACTCAGCAGACGTTTCCGTGTGGCGCCGATTTGCGCCGACAGGGGCTCTGTATGGCGTTACGACCAACCCGGCAATCCTGGAGCGAGACGGCGTGCAGTGCTCGCTGGCCGGCACGACGGCGCTCTGTGAGGCGGTGAGAGCGTGACACGCACAGCGGGCCGGTGTCGTTGCGGGCACAAGCAATGAGGCTTCGTGCATTTAAGTGTGCCGGGTGCCCTGCACAGACAACGTTGAGAGTGCACACAGCGCTGAAGCATGTGGAACCGACCGTGTACTTGCCACAATCACGACAGTCAAATGGCCAGGCTACATCAATGCCTCGCTCGTCGCCCCATGGCGGCAGCCCCTGTGCCACCACAGCACCGCGCAACCCGAACCCTGATCACCCACTCTGCGCAGGCCGCAGCTCTGGGGCTGCGCGAGCTGCAGCTGCAGGCCTGGGGCCCCTCCCCCGACGCGCTGCTGGCAGCTGCCCTGCAGCTTCAGGACCTGCGGCCGCACTACTGCCCCAGCGTAGCGCTGACCATCAAGCTGCCATGCACGGCCGAGGGGCTGGCCGCGGCGGCGCAGCTGAGGCAGCGGCGGCCGGAGTCATCTGTCACTATCACTGGGGTGTACGCGGCACACCAGGTGCGGCGGGGGGACAACGTGATCTCGGCTTTGGGGCAGCGGCCGCGGCGGATGCGATGCGTCGCCAGCCGTGCAGGATGCGCCAGCCGTGCGCTGGGCCGGCTTCGGCCACTACGGGACACTATGGCGCGGCGCGCTGCACAGCTGCGAGGCTGCACTGCATTCCTGCCGCCCTGCGATCGTCTTGGTTCAACGCGCACATTGCTGTGCCTTGGGCCATGCGCTCGGCCACCCAGTTGCCCGCCGCTCCACCATGCTTGCCGTGCCGGTCTCGCGCGAGTGCAGGCGCTGCTGGCAAGGGCCGTGGGTGCGGACTACGTTGCCCCCTACCTGGGGAGGATGGGGGACGCGGGCGGCCACGAGGAGGTGCGGCGGCGTGATGGGTGCCGCCGCCATGTGCTGCAGCTCAGCCCTGTGCGACCACGAACCACAGTGCCTGTTGCCGCTGAGTTGCTGTTGCTGCCACCGCGCTGCCGCTGCTTTTGGAGTGTGGCCGCGCTCATGCGGTGGTGGCCGCCTGTTCATCAGACTGCGCACCACCCTAATTTCCCCCCGTCACCCTGCTGGCGCATTCCTCGCTCTCCTGCCGGCCCCTTACCTGGAAACACCAACACTGGCAAATCGCAGGCCCTGCAGGAAGTTGCGTCGATGGCAGCTGCCATGCGCGCCACCAGCGGCCCTGCACACCCGCCGACGCGCGTGCTGGTCGCCTCCATACGCCAGGCGTCCCAGATGGCGCGCCTGGCAGCTGCCGGCTGCGACACGTTCACGTTTGCGCCAGCCGTGATGGAGGAGATGCTTGGGGTGCCGCAGACGCTGGCCGCGATAGCAAACTTTGAGGCGGCGGCCGCGCGCAACGGCGCGGTTGGGGTGGCAGCGGCGGGGATGGTGGTGGTGCCGTCGTGACGGGCATGCCGGCCGGCAAACGAAAGCACATGTGTAACCTCGGAACCAGCAGTGGACCTATCTGTTTCACAAACGAGACAGTGAGCATGATGAACGCTCTTGATTACTCCTGTTCACCGGCGCTGCCGATGGATTTGTTGAGGCAGGGTGTCCACTCCGGTGGTCTGCTGCTCTGCGCACACCGCTTGCAGATAGTGAGTCGTCGTGTGTGTCGTGCAGGTGGCTGGAGACGCCTCAGCAGGCGACTTGGCTACTAGGAACTGCCAAGCCCATTATCGGGATAATCCCAACACTGTCACTGACGCAGGGATACATCTCTATTCATCCCGCGTCCGACACTGGTGTGTGATCTCAAGTCATTTCGCGAAAGAAATAGACGCCATATAGCAACGGCGCGAAGCACACGCAGAATCTTGTCCTTGAAGCAGGAGCAGCGGCAGAAACATCTGCAGCGGCGGCGGTGGCGGCACTGACGCGGCGAGCGCCGCACCAGCACAGCACATCGCCTCCGGGCCGCCTGTTTGGCCGGGCGCGATGTCCCTAGAAATTGAAGCGACAGAGTGAGCCAAGCGTGAACGCGGCGACAGCGTACACATGCAGCTGGCTGGAGGGGTGCGACAGATGCGATTCAGGCATTGAGCGTGACCCACACGGCACCAAGAGCATGAGCAGCGCACACTAGAGCCCGCACCCTGCGGCCACACCCTGTTCTCCACTCCACACCCACCCAGTGTGATCAAGATTATTCTGCAGTTCTGCAAGGAGAATGGCCTCGCGGAATCATTCAACACCATCCAGGTGGGCCGGCCAGCACGGGTGGTGTCGTGTCGTAGGTGGGGCACATGGGGGGTGAGCCACGCCCGCACACCGACCCTCCGGGTTCCGTACAGGCCTGGAGCCCGAATCTGGTGTGAGCAGCTTCGTTGACTCATGGTGGCTGTGCAGCCAAGCAGCACAGCATGGGCGGCGCCGCCGGCAGCTCATCAGCAGTGGCCAAGGTCGGCAGAGTGCCTTCC